AACTGACGGTGACCCCCCCAGCCAGCGCTGCACTGTGGATATGAGTCTGCAAAATAAAACCAGAACATGGAGTTAAGGGACTTTTTTATTTAGTGATAAAACAAGGGGGAATGGCTTTGAACTGAAAGAAGGAAGGTTTAGATTAAATATTAGGAAGAAATCCTTCCCTGTGAGGGTGGGGAGGCCCTGGTACAGGTTTGCCCAGAGAAGCTGTGGCTGCCCCATCCCTGGAAGTGTCCAAGGCCAGGTTGGAAGGGGCTTGGAGCAACCTGGGCTAGTGGAAGGTGTCCCTGCCCAGGGCAGGGGGTGGAACAAGATGGGCTTTAAGGTCCCTTCCAACCCAAACCTCTCTGTTACTCTCTGATGACTGTCAGGCTGAAAGCCTGGACTTGTTTTTAGTTAACAGCTGTTCTACTATCAGTGTATTCCTGAGATTAACAGAAAAATCTTCTCCATGCAGAGGTTTTCTCTCGTGCCTTACCATTCTGAATTTCCCATCCTTTGAGGTCAGAGCAGACAACATGAAGGCAGTTACAGCACTCACTGCAAGGGCAAAGTAGGTGTTGAGGACTGCTTGGCTCCTGGACTGAGCGAGCAGGGAGTTGAAGCTTGGCCAGAACACCCAGAGGAAGACAGAGCCTTGGGAACAAGGACAAGAAACTCTCACTACCTGCTCTAAACCACAGTGAATCCATCACATCTGGAGGGCCCACAGTTTGCACTCGCTGGAATTCCCAAACTGCAAAGGAAGGAAAGCAGGCAGCCCTGAGAGGCACCTGCTCCTCAGCTGGAAGTTCTGCTCCTTTTTATGGAACTGTGGAGTTACTGCTCAAAACCAGCTGTGAGAGAGTGAAAGCCAGGGAGGAAGGGAAACACCTCCCATGGTACAAACCACTGTAAAAACACCCACAAGTGCACTTTGGTGTGACTTTTGCCTTGGCTGCCAGTACAACTGGTACTGGTTGTCTTGTCTCCTGCCAGGGTTTGAAGAGAAATGAGGATGAACTGAATAATAAGAACAGAATCCTCTCCACCTCTTTGATGATTCTTCCCAAGAAATTTGCCTGCTCAGTTGCTCCTCTCTACCCAAGCTACCTCAGGAATTATTCAAGAAATAACAATATAATTACTCCAAATAGCAAGCTGCACTAAAATTATAATGAAGGTTTAACAATGTCTTGATGAATTAGATGAAAATACTGATCCTGAATTCTCCAGCAAACAGGAACTCCAGGAACACAGAAGAGCAGCATTTAAACTTCTTTTGCCTCAACTGGGCAAAGACTGACTAAGAATTTGACTCTGTGGACCCCTGCAGGAAGATCTTAGTTCAGCTGGTGGCAGTTACACAGTGGAAGTCAAGGTAATAAAGAAACCAAATTGCTCCTGTAAGAAAAAAGCTGGGACTCCCATACCTTCAGCCTGTCCTCACTCAGATCCTTTCTCGTGGGCCTGCCTGTATCACACTCCCCACCCTTCTCCAGGCCTTTATCTTTTCATTTAACTTTACCAGGCAGGGACTGCCTTTTTATATCTCTGCACACCACCTTGGAAAACACAACTGAGCCCCAGCCAGGAACTGTGAGCTCCACCGAAATACAAGCTCTGACCTCAGCTTTGGCACACAGGCTCCTCCACATAGCCCAGAGGGGACAGCTGGGCTGTGACAGGGAATGGTTCACCTGGAGAAGGAACAGTCACCCTGGCACAGCCTCTGTGCTGAGGCTGACAAAGCAAACTGAGCCCCAGCCGTTGCAGGAGTGGCCTGGTAGGGGACATGCTGAGACTCAAACCAACCCACTGCCAGACACCACCAGCCACAGCAGCAGTTTTCTATGCCTGGCTGATTCACACCTGCATTTGGGATTCAAAACCTTCAGCCTGCTGTGCCCAGCCCTCCTCCAAAAACCTCCCTTATGTCCTCACTGCAACCTCTTCTTCCAACCCTAAGACTTACCCAGCATTGAGAACAAGTCTGACTTTGGGGTGCTCCTGTTCTTGTCCAGCCTTGGGGAGGGCTCAGGGAAACAGGAGGTGGCTGCCAGCCCAAAATAGGCTCCAAAAAGGTACACGTGCATCAGGCTGAGATGATCTTCCACCTGTATCAACAGAACATTCAAATTTGTGGTCTATTTAAGGCCAAACAAAGCCTTTGATGCAGTTCCTGATACAGCTGTTCGCGCAACCTCCCTATAAGCAACTTATTTTCAAGGCCAAATGCACTGCACCCCAATCCATCAGATCACCTCACCCTTCAAGGCCAAAAAATACAGACATAGAGATATAGAGTGTGCAGGGTTTGGAGTGGGATGTCCTTAAGTGTAACCCTAAAGTCAGACTTCATCTCTTAATGAAAACACAGCCACGACCTGAGATAAAACCCCCCCGATGTTCCCGTCAGCAGAGCACCAGGAAAGCAACAAGAAAAGGCAACAGTTCCAAAGTTCCCACTGAAATTTTCTCCCATGCATTTGGAAATCACGCTGCAGTACCTCCAGGTACCTCCTGTTGATACATCTGCTCACATAGAAGACCATTAATTCCACAAGTGTCATCACAATTAACTGCAGGAGGTTAGTCTTCCCAAGAACAGCTCCAGTGGAGATGGCCACAGCTGTCATGCTGATAACAGCCTTTGCTATGCTGCAAGAAAAGAAAGAAAAGGAAAAAATAACTCTGTATCAGGATGGCAGCAGGGCCAATGACACACAGTAAAATGCATTAAAAACTCAAAGCCTTCTAAAATGTCTGCAAATATGACTGTTTATTCCCAAATAGGTCCATATAACAAGGCATTAAGCTCCATAAAGAGCAATCAGCAGTTCTGGATTACTCCCATTCTAACATGAACTGATTACCTTTTCAGAATACCTTCTTGTGCCTCTAGATGAAAGAAAACTAATAAATCTTCTAGCAACACAGAGCACTGGACACCAAGCACAATGATCAGGAGGTTGAATCCAGTGCTGCTAAAGCCATATCTTCTCAGAACCATCAGGAAAAAGCCAAATCCAAAAATCACCATGTGGTTGACATCTTGAAATTCTGCACGACAGAAAAGACCGAGACAGCGGTGAAATTATCAATGCAGGCTGGATTTCTGGTTTAAAAAAAAAAAATCAATTAAAAATCACAATTAACCAAGAAGCCTTCAGGTAAAAATTCCAAGTACTTGCAAAGAATTCCAGAGCTTTCTTCCTAATCCATAAGTAATCAAAAAACCAATACCCTTGATCCTGAATTTTGTTTTAGAGTGATCTGAATGGATACCATAGCATGGAAGTTGAGGAATAAAAAAAAAGCACAACAGAAATGAAGGACATTTAGCAAGGAAATTTGGACATTCAGTTTTCCTGAGGTGAATTTAAAGAGCTTAAGTTGAAATTTTTCAGGGAGAGTTGCTGTGAATGAGCGCTGATCCATTCCTCGAGGGCATTAGGGGAGAAAAGAGTTACAAAGAGAAACCTGTGCAATGCCCTCATAGGAGGAACAGAAATTGCAGGAACAGTTTAATCTGGAAACCAGCACTATTGCACTGAAGGGAAAGGCTGTCCCAGGTGGAAGCTCTTGGATCTGTAAGCCTGGAATCATCCCTGGGACCTGCTGACAGTCATATTCTCACATGGTTGTGCTGGTTTGGTTCCTCCAGCAAAACACCAAACTGCTGGTGAAGTGGGTCTTGGTTCGCAGCCACTGCTTCGATGTAAATGAATTCCCACCGTACCAGGCGAGGTGGGGTGTTCAAAGGGCAGTCAAAACGCTCCTCACTGAATCCCACCAGGGATTATCCCTCCCTTCCCAGCAAGGCTGCCAAGTCTTACCTGGGTAGGAGAAGACCAGCCAGTCCAGAAAATTTAGTCTTAAGAAGAGGAAGTAAGAGCGGACGAGGAACAGAGCTTCCAGCAGAAGGATCAGCCAGGGAACGCTGTTTCGGAAGTTGAGGTAGTTGGAAGACATCGTGCACTCGACTACATCGGCCACAAACACGTTGATATATGCTTTTTCCTATAAAAATGTTTCAGTAACCTCAAGTAGATAGCGAAGGAGGTTTTGGGGGGGCAGGAATAAAAACTCAAATGGAGATAAAACCCCAGGAGGCGTCGGCGAGGGGCAGTTCCTTATCTGTGGCACGTCAGGCACCCCAATTTACCACAGCCGACATGGACTGAACTCAAGAAGTGCTTGTGAACGGGGACATATCCAACTGCCAGTGCTGCCAGGCTCCAGGACACCTTCCATGCTCCAGGACACCTTCCATCCAGGGCTCCAGCTGCTGGTGAGCCCTGCAGCTCAGCTAAAAGGCAAGAAAGGACTCCCAAGAGCAGGATGTTGTAATTTATGCAAAACCATTAATTATTTACGTTGCCGGTGTCCACCCTGGACCCAATTCCCTTCATGGAAAGGTGGGCAAGGTCCTGTTGAGATGCTCAGTGTGATTCTACAGCTCTGCAGCCACATCCTCATACCTGATGAATCCAACTCCGAGCCAGAGAATCGGGAATCTCTGGACGCGTCAAGAAGATGAAGCACTTCCTCTGCTACTTGTGAGATCATCCAGTTCCACCCCTTGCCACGGGCAGGGACACCTTCCACCAGCCCAGGTTGCTCCAAGCCCCGACCAGCCTGGCCTTGGACACTTCCAGGGATGGGGCAGCCACAGCTTCTCTGGGCAAACTTGTGCCAGGGCCTCCCCACCCTCACATGGAAGAATTTCTTCCCAATATCCCATCCAACCCTGCCCTCTTTCAGTTCAAAGCCATTCCCCCTTGTCCTGTCACTATTTGCCTGTATAAAAAGTCCCTCTCCCTCCTTTTTATAAGGCCACTTTAAGCACCAGAAAGGAACATTTGTATCCCCTCAGTATCCACTGGGCTTCTGGTAAACTGAACCCTCTTTGTTCAGGCTGTTCAGACGAAAGGATTTTAACCACATCTCAGACTTTCTGCTTTGGGGCCATTACAAAACCGAGTGCTGAGCTGGGACACCAACAGCACCCAGAAATGGGTATAAATGTGCCCAGAAATGGGTATAAAGCCACCTGCTGGTGACAGAAACAACTACCAGACAAAAATAAAAGCAGGAAAATCCCAGTACACCTAAACTTCAGGACATTCCAATCTGCCAAAGAATGACTGCCGTTCCACCCAGGAAAGAAAGCCTCTTGGAGCAACCTGGGCTGGTGGGAGGTGTCCCTGCCCATGGCAGGGGGTGGCACTGGATGGGCTTTGAGGTCCCTTCCATGCCAAAGCATCCCGGGGACTCTGCGTTCGTAAATTAGAGCTCCACCACCAGGACAACACCCCTATGACTCAGCCAAGGGCCGGGCAGCCTCCTGAGGCAGTTTCAACGCTGTTTTGAGCCCCGCACTGCTCAGACTCGGCCCAGCGGCCCATCAGCCTCAGGGAGGCCCGGCAGGCCCACGGCCCAGCCCAGTCCCGGGGCACTGTCACCAGCCGGGCCGGCCGGGGCCCAGCCCGCGTTCCGGCCTCCCTCAGGCGCGGCACCGCCTCACGGCTGGCAAAGACCGAAGGGGCTGCGGGGAGAGGCCTCTGCAGGGGTCGTAAGGAGGACGAGGAGAAGCCCCTGCCGGGTTTCGAACCCGCGGCCCCGGGGGCGGCGCCGCTGCCCGGCCGTGACTCGGCAGCGGCAAGGACCCACCCGGCCCCGCCCCTCACTGAGCGCCCGCCCCCTCCGCAAAGGCCGCCCTTAGGAACTGCCCTCTCATTGGCCGAGCGCCGGCTCCTCCCGGCCTTTGATTGGCCTATCCCCATCCTCAGGCCTCGCGTCCTGCGCTGCGATTGGTGATCTGGCCTGTCACTCAGCTGCGTGAGCTGCTTAGTGGCTGGAGGGGCCCGTCCGTCACCCCTCGGGGTTATTTTGCCCCCGGCGGGCCGTTGGCACAGGCCGCGCTGTGCGGGTGGCACAAACTGCCGCCGCTCGCCTTTGCACCTGCGACTTGGCGTTCTCTTCCCCAGCAGCCGATTTGCCGGGGAGCTGTCAATCAAGCGTGAGGGGCGGTGCCTCGGGGCTACGGTGACAGAGGAAATTGGGCCCTCCTTCTTCCGTTTCCGAGTGGATGGCTGAGCTGTCCTTTTATTTTTGTGCTCCTCTTCCATTGGGCAGCTTCGCTGTCGGTCAGCACGCGGGGCGGGAGCCAGCCCGGTAGGACAGTGAGTGGGCGGAGACCAA